AACCTGTAACTCTACCACCAGGGAATTCAACATCTTTTCTGGCATCCATGGGTAATCAATCACCCACATGTGACATACATACATGCATACATATAAATTAAAATAAATCTTTTTTTTAAATCACAGGCAAGGGCCAGTGAGATGACTCAATTGGCAAATATACTTGTTGCCAAGCCTGAGTTTGATCCCTGAGCACCACGTGGTGGAAAGAAGAGAAACAATTCCAGCAAGTTGTCCTCTGACCTTTACATGCACGCCATTTGTACTTGACCCCCCCACCCCGCCAAATAAATGAAAATACAGTTTAAATTTTTTAAGAAAAATCACGGCAAGCTGTGTGGTAGTACATAACCTATAACTTCAACACTCTGGACGCTGAGGCAGAGGGATCCCCTTGAGTTTGAAGCTAGCCAGAGCTACATAACAACCAGAGCTACATAACAAGAACTGTTTCAAATACAGCAAAAATCACCGGCAGAGGTTGCAGGCTTCTGGAAGCTCCCAATAACTCCCTGACCATAACTTGCAGGAAAGGGGGACTTCAATACTTGAACCACAAAGAAACCCTGACCCTAATCCAATCTGCACATAAGAATATAGTCTCAGATCCTGAGCAGAGTCCTAGCCAAGCTATGTCTGAATTCCTGGGTAACTGAGACTGTGATACTGTAAATATAAGTGCTGACTGAAGCCACCAAGTTTGTGGAAGTTTGTTATACAGTTAACAGGAAACTAGGTCTGGTGTGGTTGAGTATGCCTTTGAGCCCAGTACTCAGGAGGCAGAGGCAGGCAGATCATAAATATGAGGCTAACCTGATCTACATAGCAATTTCCAGGCCAGCCAGTGCTATATAGTGAGACCCTGTCTCAAAAACAAACAAAAACCAATGAAATAAAAAATAAAATGGGCAAAAATGCTCATAACAGAGATTGCTTTTCTCAACTTATGGTCTTGGTCTGGTTTTGAGGCAGGGTCAGGGTCTCATGTATTCTAGACTGACCTCAAACTCCCTATAATGCAGCCAACTATAACCTTGAACTCCTGATATTCCTGCCTTTCCTTCTCTCAGCATGTGCTACCACACATAGCTCACTTTTGGCAGAAATATAAATTGATACATTTGGGGGGGTGTGTGCTGGAAAATGAGCATGCTAAGCATTCAATGTACCACTAAACTGCATCCCCAGTTCCAATATAATATGAGATGGGTCTCTTAGCGAACTCAGGCTGGCTATTAACTCATGAATGCTGAGATTACAGACATGTGCCACCATCTCCCCTTCCCCCAACCCAATTTGACAATATTTCCCAAAATTTGAAGTTACCCAATCTGACCCAGAGGTTCTACTTCTATTAATTTGCCCAATAAGCATAAATTGTGATGGTTAATATGGTCAACCTAATAGGCTCTTTAATCACCTAGATGGCAAACCTCTGGGCATGTCTGTGAAGAAGTTTCTAGATTGGAGTAACTAAGATAATGCTCATCTTAAATGTGGGTGGCACTACTCCATGGCCCTGGGACCCAAGGTAGAGAAAAAGGAGAAAGCAAGTGGAGCTCTAGCCTTTGTCTCTCCTTCTTGACTAGAGACACAATATAACCAACTGTCTCATGTTCCTACAGCCACATCTTACCCACCATGATGAACTGTCACCCTTCATAAACTGGAAGCCAAAATAAATCCTTTGTTTTTTTTCAGACACTGGGTCACAGAAATGAGAAAAAGGTAACTAATACACACACGCACACACACATATACAAACACATATGCAACAAAAAAGATAAAAATTAGAAATGAGCTGTATATACCAGAAGGAGTAGGTTACATAAAGTATGGGAAGCCCAGACAAGCCTAGAGGCCAGGGCTGTGTGTATACATTGGTCATAGCCCAGCACAGAGTGGAAAAACCGCTTTCTCTGCTGTGGATGGTGTAGGCACATGAAATACCTGGAAGCATAAGAACCAAGCATGTGCAATGCTAAAATCTATACCTATTACTTCTGTTATTTTTATATGATTTTGTATGGTGGTAGTTGGGGGATTGAACCTAGGGCTTCATGTGTGCTAGATAATGCATTATTTTGTATTTAAAAACTCAACCTCAGCTGGGCGTGGTGGCACACGCCTGCAGTCCCAACACTTGGGAGGCAGAGGCAGGTGGATCTCTGTGAGTTCAAGGCCAGCCTGGTCTACATAGTGAGTTCCAGGACAGCTGGGGCCACAGGGAGACCCTGCTTCAAAAAGACCACACACACACAAAAAAACTCAACCTCAGGTCTGGAGTGATGGCTCAGAGGTTAAGAGCACTGGGTGCTCTTGCAGAGGACCCAGGTTCAAATCCCAGCACTTACATACATGCAGACAACGATTCATACACACACACACACACACACACACACACACACACAAACTGCTTAAGTTGTCTTAACATTTATTTGCTTACTTGTTCTTTTTTTTTTTCAGGCTGACCTTGAACTCACAGAGATCCACCTGCCTCTGCCTCCTGAGTGCTGGGATTAAAGGCGTGTGCCACCACACCCAGCTGATTTATTAATATATACTTTATAATCAATGGAAATAGTGAATCTGCCCATTTAACAATAATGCAAAATATGATAAATGTAGTTTTTTGCTTAATGATAAGAAAAAGGAGCTGGGCATTAAAAGTGCATGCCTTTAATCCTAGCACTTGGGAGGCAGAGGCAGGTGAATATCTATGAGTTTGTAGGCAACCTGGTCTACATAGAGTTCCAGATCATCCAGGGCTACATAAGTAAGATCCTGTCTGCAAAAAAAAAAAAAAAAAGAAGAAAAAGGAAGGGCACTCTTGCTGCCTGGTACAGGTCATGGGTCATTTAGTGTTAGTTAAAAATAAATCAGGCTGGAGCTAGGGATGTAGCTTAGTTACAGAATGACTGCCTAGCATGCACAAAACCCAGGTTTGATTTCTGGCACCACATAGACCAGACATTGTGTCACATTCCTTTAATGCCAACACTCAAGGGGTGGGGGTGGGGGGGTCAGAAGTTCAAGGTCATCCTCAACTATATAGTAAATTTGAGGCCAGCCTGGGCTACATGAGAAACTGTCTCAAAGATAACTAATATAGTGAAACAAGACTATAATGCAGCATCAATGGTAGAGGAGCTCCCCTGTGAGGGCCTGGGTACCAGCATTTCTGTCTGCCACCTAAGTAGCCTTGGTTAGGTGGTTTAACTGCTCTGTGCCTGTTTCTGTAAAAACATAGGTCATAGGAACCTATGGGAGAAGTAGTTGTGTGCCATTATTTCCTGGTTTTCTAGGGCTCAAAACATCTGGCATAGGAGGAAACTCAGTAAAAGTCATCATTGGGCTGGTAAGATGGCTCAGGGGGAAGAGCTCTTGCTACCAAGCCCAACAACCTGTTAGATCCCCATTATTAACATGGTAGAAGGAGAGGTCTCTCAAAAGTACTCCAACCTCCACATGCATGCCATGGCACGTGTATCCCTTACACACACAAATAAATATAATTTTAAAAAACGTTGTTAAGAGGCTGGAGAGATGGCTCAAGCGATTCTTAGAGGACTTGGGCTCACTTCCCAGCACCCACATGGCAGCTAACAACCATCCTTAACTCTAGTTCCAAGAGATCTGACACCCTCTTCTGACCTCTGTGGATAATGCACAACACAGGTGCACTTACACATATGCAGGCAATACATTCATACACACAAAATTTTAAAAAAATCAGTTGGCCGGGCATGGTGGCACATGCCTGTAGTCCCAGCACTTGGGAGGCAGAGGCAGGCAGATCTCTGTGAGTTCAAGGCCAGCCTGGTCTACATGGTGAATTCCAGGATAGCTGGGGCCACAGGGAGACCCTGTCTCAAAAAGACCAAAAAAAAATCAGTTAAAAATAAAGTCATTGGGGCTGGAGAGATGGCTCAGCGGTTAATAACCCTGTTCTTGCAGAAAACCCAGGTTCGAATCCCAGCACCCACATGGCAGCTAACAACTGCCCGTAACTCCAGTTCCAGGGGATCCAACAGCCTCTTCTGTCCTCCGTGGGCATTGCACGACATGAGTACACTTACTTACATGCAGGCAATACATGCATACACATAAAAATATTTAAAATTTTTTTAAAGCCATTATAAGCCGGGTGTGGTGGTGCATGCCTGTAGTCCCAGCACTTGGGAGGCAGAGGCAGGCGGATCTCTGTGAGTTCAAGGCCAGCCTGGTCTACATAGTGAGTTCCAGGTCAGCTGGGGCTATAGGAAGACCCTGTCTCAAAAAGTAAAATAGAGCCATTATCACTGCCAACTTTATTATACTGTGTAACTGGGCTCATCAGGTATCAAGAAGGAAATGAGTAGCAAAGTCATGTAACCAGTGTCATTGTGTTTTTGTGAAAAGCAAGTGAGATGATTGTTTCATGTACACACAGATGTACAGAGACCTCTCTAGAGGGCTCCCACAGGTCAAAGTACCTGCCCAGCATTGGCACAGGAAGCCCAAGGAAGACCTCTGTGTATTTAATATTTGACATAACCTGCAGCTTTGCAGAGTTTATACACTCCCTGTAACCTTAGTGTGTAAAACTGTGGGCAATATCAGAAATGCCTATTTCTAGAGCATTATGATCCATAAAATTCTGAAAAGAAAGCTTTTATAAGTCAGAATTTTTTGCAGCCTAAAAACCCTACAAAACCCTAACCTGAGATAGACTGCCCTTTCATGTCTTCTCCCCGTATCTCTCAATCTGAAGCTGTTCTGCACTCATGAAATCTAGAGTCTCTCCTGTTTCTTCCCTGCAAGAGTACATCCAGTACTCAGCCTGCCCCACTGAGTTGTGAATCCATTTGAGTGTCGAATTGTTAGGCACAGTCTCTTTTTCTGCTGGCCATGAATCTAAGTCCTTTACCGTGAGCTAAGATAGGCCTTGTCTACATTGTGGAAGAAGTTTCCAAGTTTCTACACACCCACTAAATGGATGGATGTTTTCTTCCCTCTAGAGAAACCTGATACAAAACAAAAGTCAAGCAAGAAGAAAACTGTCATTCCGCAGATCATCATCACGCGAGCCTCAAATGAGATGCTAGTCAGCTATGGCCTCCCTGAAAGTGAAGAACAGAGAACCATTCGGGAACATGCTGATTGGGGCCCTTATTACCGACACAGGAGCCCCAGCACAATAGCAGCCTATGGTCTACCCAGCAAAGAATAAATGAGAGCTCCCAGTAGCTGTGATTGTTTACACAGTCTGGCTATGCTGACAGAAGGGCCACCCCACCTTATCAGGGAGCTGAATGTTCTCCTCCAGTCTGTGAGGTCTTGTCTCAATGTACATTCGTCTTATTTTCCTCAGAGCCAATGGCAGCTTGACAGGGAAGAGAGTGGCTGGTTCAGAAAGTACATTTCGAGGTCCTAAAGGTTTAACTAGCATGTCTCTATTAGAAATAGCTGACCATTAAGTGGTGGAGAACAGGCAGTAGTTCACACTGTGAATGAGGTGGGCACTGAAAATATTTTCTACTTGTTTCTAAGGATGTGTGGTATAAGCACTTGGAGGTTGGTGAATGCCATGCCCTCAAATTAGTCAAGAGTCTGAGGTAAGGATTGCTGTGAGTTCAAGGCTGACCTGAGCTACATAGACCAACCCAAATTTATCCTTGCCTCAAAAAAAAAAAAAAAAAAAAAAAAAACAATCTGTGGCTTCAGCTCAGTGGTAGAGCACTTGCCTCGCATTGTGAGGCTAGGTTCAGTCTTTACCATCACAAAAATCATTTGCAAAATCATTTAGTTTATATATATGAATACATACATAAAACTAGGCTAGGCTAGTCTGAGAACTAAGCTTCAAGTTCTAGAACAGAGAGGCCTCAAGACTTATGGGCTCTTAGCTTGTCTGAATTAAAGGCTCTAAAGAATGTAGTTGGTCCTTGGGTCAGGGAAGACTGCTGGGGGACTTAAGATGTTGGCAGTGGCCTATGGATTCTGTCCTGTCTTTCTGGCCTCATGGATAAGGTCTCCCTATAGCAAAGGATCACTTAGAATGCCAAGCATGCTGCCATCAGATGGCTTTTCAGGTGACTCCTTTACTAGCAACCTCCAGGTCAGGCTGTTGCTTGAGAGAATGTCCTACCCTGTCTAGTCTCACGCATGTGATATAGTAATAGTGTATTCATCAGTTTTTCATATTGGTTGGCCTCTGTGGGCTAAACCAACCCAAGAGGTGTGTGCCCACCAGGATCACAAACACAACCTTCTCCTGTGCTAGGGTGAGGGGGACATGCCAACAGTTTCTAATATGTACATCAGGTTTATCTAATTTATAAAACATATACAGAAGTCTTATTTTTTAATTTTATGTGTATGTGTGTATTGTTTGCATGTGAGTGTACCTGTGTCATGCAGTGCCCTCAGAGGACAGAAGAGGGCGTCAGGTTCCCTGGAACTGAGGATGGTTGTTAAGTTGCCATATGGGTGCTGGGATTCAAACCCGGGCCTTCTGCAAGAACAGCCAGTGCTCTTTACTGCTGAGCCATCTCCAGCCCAGAAGTCTTATTTTTTATATATGTTAGAAACTTGCTACTGAAAGCCTGTTTTGTTTTGAGATAGTCTGGCTATGCATCCCATTCTCCTTGAACTCACAATTTTCCTGCCTCAGCCCCCTGAGTACCACAACATCCAAACAGATTGCTTAGCATTAACCTTAGTGCCCACATGGGCCTGGGCTCTTGGCACTTGGAAGCAGGAAAAGCTTATTTTCCCAATCTTTAACTGAGTCCACAAGGAATTGTAGACAAATGGTGTTCTGAGTTCCATTACACAGAACACAAAGAAGGAGTACAGTCTCAACAGGACCTCTTGGGTTCATTCTGTTCTGTACTGGCCAAGTACACTTATGTCTTCCCAGCTGTTACCCAAGCCAGGCAACCTTCTCCAACCCAGGAAGACAAATGTGGAGTGGAGAGGAAGAACAGGAAATGCAACTCCTTATTTCCTTGTGTATGATGTACACCTCTCATGCACAAGGCTCTAGTATTGTCCATGGCTAGAAATGGGGATGAGGATGGTCTCACAAAGGACTTGGCTTCCATGAGCTGGCTTTCAGGGATTGCCTCCTGCTCCCCAGCGACCGTCACAAAGCACAGCTGCCTCTCACAAAGCAAGCTGCCTCTCAGTAGAGCATAAAGCACTGCTGATCTGCTGGAATTGCTCTCACTGAAATGGGAGGTATGGGGAAATATTTTAAAATGAAGTATTCAGGAGAGGATTTTCTTCTAGCTGGTTAGAACCAATGTGAACCTTCCGTAGGTTTGGCTAGCGGTGGTAGTTTGAGTTTTGCTACTAGATTTCAACAGGGAAGCAAACGGGAAAAATGCTGCCCTGATCGTGAGCCTCACACCCAGGGCCCTATACTACTCGACTGCAGACCTCCCTGCATCAGAAGAGCTCTGAGGCTTCCTGAGTGAAGCGAGGGCGGTGTCTACTGTGGTCACTCCCTCCTCCCTGGAGGACTCCTAGCCTCTTCTCACCCAGGAACTGGAAAGTCCTCATGGCCACCTCCCTCCTTACTCCTCCCGGGACTTGTGACAGCTTGTGAGGTTTTCTGAGGCTGCTGAGGGCTAGCGCTCTGGACAAAGCCCTGACCTCTTCCGGAGGGTCCGGTCTGTACGGTCGCAGTGGCCTCGCATCCCAGCCCACCCCGCCGACCCTGCTGGGTTGTCTGAGTCTAATGCTAAAGGCAGGCCCGACCCTCTGTGCCTGAGCGGATCCCAGAGCGGAGGGTCCAAGAAGGTACTCCGTGGCCCTCCCAGGTAACCGTCGTGGACAGCGGGACAACCCGGAAGTGCGTTACGCGCCTGCGCCGAGGGACGGCCTAAGCTTGCGCACACGGAGAGCGGGTGGGCTTGGGGGTGAAGCCCGCGTTCGGCATGGCGGAGGCGGACCCAGAGTCGGATCAGATCCGACTGAAATGTATCCGTAAGGAAGGGTTCTTCACCGTGCCTCCAGAACACAGGGTGCGATGGGGTGCCACCGGCCGGCGCTGGGGCGGGTCCAGAGCCGCGCTCTGGGGCTCGCGGTGTCGCGTGCAAGGTCGAGGTTTTCCGGCGCGGGAGGGCGCATCCTGCAGCACGTGCCGAAATCCGCAGCCTAGCACTGGAGGGGGGCGGGGGGACCCGTCCGGGCCGAGGTCCGAAGAGACCGCGAGGCTGGGGATTTGCGGGTGAGAAGATGAGCGCTCCCGGTGGTACCTGCAGCCCGGAGCGCTCACCTTGCTGGCTGACCGTGCTTCACCGGCAGTTCTTGTACTGTCTTCTGTGTGATGAGGAAAATGAACCTTAGGGGAGCTGATTTCACCACGGTAGAAGTGGAAAGCAGGGAAGAAGTTTGTTTAACGTCTTGTTCTTGCTTTGCAAGGCCAAGCCACATCAACCAAAGTGTAGTTAGTGCCCAGGAGCACCGCGCAGGATGCTGGAGTAGCTCCGTGATATGGAAATCGGCTCTTCAAGGGGGAAAATGCAATGTGTGCAACGGTTGGTTATTCAAGTTATAAAAATGGCGGGCGTGGTGGTGCACGCCTTTAATCGCAGCACTCGGGAGGCAGAGGCAGGCGGATCTCTGTGAGTTGAAGGCCAGCCTGGTCTACATAGTGAGTTCCAGGCCAGCTGGGGCTACAGGGAGACCCTGTTTCAAAAAAGAAGTCAGCCCTGGGCGGTAGCCAGCCTGAGCTACATAGTGCGTTCCAGGCCAGACTGGAATGGTCTCAAAAAACAAAGCATTGGTGACTTTGGAGAAAGGAATTCTGTAAGAGATTTGTGGAAGAGCTGATTATTTTTTTGGAACCAAGAAGTTTGCTGGCAGGACAAAGCCGTGATGAAGGGAAGTGCATGGTAAACAAGAAGCCGAAGTGCAGAGGTCTGGGAGAAGCCAGCTTAATGAGGGCATCATGGTAGGGCACCAGGTGTCAGAAAGTAAAAAGACTGAGGACCCGCTGTTAAGAGAAGGGAAGCCAGCTGGGGACTAGTATAATAGAATCCAAACCTTACTGCAGGAGCTTCCTGTATCCAAGAAATGCTCATTTAAACCACCTACAAAGGCAACACACTATGAAGGTATATTGGATTGCAGACTCTCCAACAAGGCAGACCCCAGAATACAGTGGCACAAACAAGATATGGCTTCTTTTTTATTTTATTTTTTTAATTTTATGTGTATGAGTGTATTGCCTGCATGTATGTGAGTGCACAGTGCCGCAGAGGTCAGAAAAGGGCTTCAGATTCCCCTGGAACTACAGTTAAGGACGGTTCGTAGCCAACATGTGGGTGTTGGGAATCGAACCCAAGTCCTCTACAAGAGCAGTCAGTGTTCTTAACCGCTGAGCCATCTCTCCAGTCCATACGGCTTATTTCTTTACCCCCTGAAATTAGAGGCAATTGTTTTCCATATGGTGGGCTAGGCCTTCTTCTCTCCTGTAGTTCCATTCATGCCCTCATTCTCATCCCAGCCTACAAAATACGCAAAAGGAACTAGGCCTTAGCTAGCTTCCTTTGACCTGGAAGTCACATGTGTCCCTTCTCACATCCCAAGGATGAGTGCCCCTAGGTAGGTTTCCTCACACATATGAAGTTGTAACTACATGTTGGAGACAGGCCCTTCTGCCACAGAGGCATTTTTATACCTTGTTTTTGGCCACTGTTTCTAGATAGCAGATAGTCTGGACCACAGGGTTGAAGAGTGATTAGGCTGCCTTTGATATTACAAAGTCCCAGGTTTATTCTCCCCCTTTGCTCTTTAGAAAAGTCCAAGTATGTGGTTGCTCTTCTGTTTGGTGAGCAAGTTCCTCAGTATGGGTAAGACCCATCATCACTTGTGCCATCAACTTCCAAATCCCCACACTCGTGTCTCCTGTCTTTCAGCTGGGAAGATGCCGGAGCGTGAAGGAGTTTGAGAAGCTGAACCGCATAGGCGAGGGCACCTATGGCATTGTGTGTGAGTGTTAATGATGAGGACTGTGGAGCTACAGCTGTGTTTCTGACAAGTGTGGGACAGGGGTTGCTACAGTGGCTGTGTTGGGACTGGAAAACATACTTTGTACTCTAAACCAGGGTAAAGGCTTGTTTAGGAACTTTAATTCCTGGTGTGATTTCCGCAAAGTTTATACTGTATCTGAATAAACATATCTGAATAAGCATCTGGTTGCTAATGTCAGCAATCTAAATATATGATTATGGAGTAGAGATAGTTATTATTTTGTGTATGAATATATTGCCTGCCCGTGTGTAAGTGCATGGGCGTTGTGAACTGCCCTTGGAGGTCAGAAGACATCAGATCCCTTGGAACTGGAGCTAAAAATTGTTGTAAGCCACCATATGGGTACTGAGAATCGAACATGGGTCCTCCGCAAGAGCGGTCTGTGCTCTTAACCACTGAGCCATCTGTCCAGCCCCCAGAGATAAAATGTACTAGTTGTTGCAGCACCATTGGTGTGAGTCATTCTGCCCATATGTTGAAGTTATACAACAACAAAGTGATCTGTAGAGCCATAGTCATGTAAAATGAAGGCTATTTTTTCTAGTGGAGAACTTTAATTACTATTGGCATATAGTTCAAGTGAACACAAAGCAGGGGCCTGCATGTGAAGAGAATTCTTGGAGCGCTCCTTACCACACAAGTTGCTGGTGGCCAGGTTTCAGCTCAGAGTACAAAACCAGGAACTTCCCAACCCAGCTTAAATGAGGAACTCCCAAGCAATCTTGGACTAGGAGGTGTTGCTTGTGTGGAAGGACTAAGTATTGCTGGACTTTAGGTTGTCAGAAATGAGAAGGAATCCCATGAAACTCACAAAGGGGCTCCTGGGTAGCAGGATGGAGCTGAGAGGGTTTGAGGTAGACTCCATCACAACTGTGTTCCTATTCCAGATCGGGCTCGGGACACCCAGACAGATGAGATTGTTGCCTTGAAGAAGGTGCGAATGGACAAAGAGAAAGATGGTGAGCTGGGAGCAGCAAGGTCCAGGAACACTCCAACTAGGTCATCAAAGCAGGAGTGGGTAGAAAAGAGCAGTTACCTGAGGTTTCTCAGGACTGAACTCTCCTGAGCATGTGCACAATGTTAAGAGGCTCAGCTTGTCACTGCAGCCAGAGCTTGAGCTTCCTAAACCCTACTAGATTTTCCCCATCTTGGCCACCTGTAGGATTCTGCATTCTCTCTATCCTCTCTTGCCTTTAAACTCTGATGACATTTCACCTGTCTCAGTTCTCTGCTGTCCTTCACATCACACCAGCAGTCTTGCTCACCACCCTACATCTGCCTTACATCTCTAATGAATTCAGGAGTAAGTGGTGCTTGTATCATTATGATTTTCCCTGAGACTGGGACAGTGTTTATGGGGCCCCAGTGTAGTGGAGCAGAACTCACTGAGTTCCTCTGGTTACAGGCATTCCCATCAGCAGCCTGCGTGAGATCACACTGCTCTTGCGTCTTCGTCATCCCAACATTGTGGAATTGAAGGAGGTGGTTGTGGGCAACCACCTGGAGAGGTATGTGATCTCCTGAGCCTATCTTATTTGAATGGGTCTCTCTCCTGAGGTTACCCTTCCTACAGCAGGTGAGGACTTCTTTCTTTACCTACTAAGGGAAAGACAGGTAGTGGCATGTGTTTCCTTTTTTCCTTCCAGCATCTTCCTGGTGATGGGTTACTGTGAGCAAGATCTGGCTAGCCTCCTGGAGAATATGCCAACACCCTTTTCTGAGGCCCAGGTGTGTCAACGTTGTTTCACAGGCTTTGGTCGGTATATATCTGTATTGGACATGAGTGCTAGAGATGTGTGGAGTTTCCAGTGCCTCTTACACAGCATCTAGGACATTAATGAGGTTGATTTCTGCCTGTGAGGTACCCTAAGGGACCCCGACATGGGGCTGGCCCTGGGTCCTCTTAGGCCACTGGGAAGGAAAAGTGACAAAAGAAAGGGCTAGGGAAAGGTTCAGCAGGTAAAATGCTTGCCATGCAAATGTGAGGACCAGAGTTCAGATCCCTAACACCCATGTAAATGCCAGGTGGGTATGGTGGCCTGCCTGTAATCTCAGAACAAGGTGGTTAGAAATGGGATTCCCCAAGCAAACTGGTTGACTAGGCTAGCCAAATCAGCATGTTCTGGGTTGAGGTGAGAAACCCTGCCTCAATATATAAGGTGGAAAGCAATTGAGGAAGATACCTGATGTTAGCCTTTGGCCTTCACACACATGTACATTCACATGCATGCACACTCCCACACACAGTGTGCACCCACACACATGTAAACAGACACACCTCTCTCTCTCTCTCTCTCTCTCTCTCTCTCTCTCTCTCTCTCTCTCTCTCTCTCTCAATAAACAAATCTATAGTAGTACTGTCTTAGCTGTGCAGGACATAGCAACAGCCATACTCCTGAGGCTGCTGATGACTGCTAGTCCTAACTGCCAGGCAGTTCCTCGGGCTCTCTAACCTGTGCCTCTGGACTTCCTCACAGGTCAAATGCATCATGCTACAGGTGCTTCGGGGCCTCCAGTACCTGCACAGGAACTTCATCATCCACAGGTAGACAGGCAACTAGGAGGAAGATGTGTTGTAACTGTGTCTAAAGGGTGGAAGGGAGTGGGACAGGGATAGTTATCCCCACAGTACCTCATCCTGAGTATCTCCAGGAAAAGAGCAAACGCCCAGTAGAAATTCTCTGAGTACTGCCAGGGAAGATCTAGGACCAAACAAGTTTGAGCAGCCCTCATATGTTTACCTCTGAGAAATGGCGGGTGGGAGAACAGCAGCTGGAAACTATTTGTGTGGAGAGCACCTAAATACACAGGCCAGGAGCTGGCTGTGTGGCCTTTGAGCCTTGGACTCTTGTACTGGGGCTGCTGGAGCAACTCGAGTGGAAAAACAACAGGATTGGAGACCTGATTCTTCCTCAGTTTTACTGAGACTGCTGGCATATCAGCAGCTAGTGTCTTTGCTGCTGCTTACCTTCTGCTTTTAAGACTCAAATGCAAAGGAAAGTGTGTTGGGCTTAAGTGACAGCCTGTTTGCCCTGTGGAGCAGGGGAAAACCAATGCTCTTTCTGTCCCAGGGACCTGAAGGTATCCAACTTGCTCATGACAGATAAGGGCTGTGTAAAGACAGGTGGGTGCTACCGGGTATTGATCCCACATTCATGGAGTGCCACCCATGGGAGTGGGGGTGTCAGTGTGGCTCTAAAAGCCAGGGATGGCCCCAGGCCACCTAAGAACAACCCTGTCTCCAGAAAGCAACTTACCAGTTCTCACTGGGTGATATTCTCTCCTTTTCCTCTCTGCCTCTCCTGCAGCGGATTTTGGCCTGGCTCGGGCCTATGGTGTCCCAGTAAAGCCAATGACCCCCAAGGTTGTTACCCTCTGGTGAGTCCCTCAGAATCATGGTGATCTCTAGGGATGGGTATGCCTCCTGCCAGCCCTTTGCAGTTGAGGCTGATTCTGCAAATGATCCTTAAGAGTCTGTAAGCTGTCTAGGACTGCATATACCAGTGGCTGGGTCTAGGCCAGCTGCTTAGGACAAAGCAGGGCTTTCCTAGAGAAAGGGTGATAACCAGGTTCAGTGACCTCAAGAAGTCTGCTTTTTCCAGATGAAATGCTATCCTGCACTGAGACAGCTAGAAACAGCCTGGCTCCAACTGTCTCAGGAAGGAAAGGGTGGGCGTCTCGAGTGGCTTTCTGATATTGTTCTTGTTTTTTTGTGGGGGGTGTGTCTGTCTGTCTGTCTGTCTTTTTGGAAATGGGGTCTCCCTATAGCCCCAGCTGGCCTAGAACTCATGTAGACCAGGTTGGCCTCACTTTTACAAAGATCGCTTGTCTATGCCTCCTCAGTGCTGGGATTAAAGGCATGTACCATCATGAAGTTGTTTTTAAAGGCAGAATGAGGCCATGGTTAATGACAGGACCTGGACATTGCTCACATCCCAATCAGGAGCCCCACATATCCTCTACTGCATGTCCTCTGACCTCTATCCCAAAGCAAGCTGATGTTGGCAGATCTGTGCTGGGATCCTTTGATTCTTGTTAACACAGACACAGTAGTTCTTTACCGCTTGTCCTGACTTTGAGGCTTAAAGGGCAGTCCAAGCTTATGATCCTGTTGCTCATTGCCACTGGAGACCCTCAGGGAGCTCAATCTGTGGGAAGAGGAGCTGACCAGAGGAAAATCAGGCCTCTGTCTGCAGGTACCGAGCCCCAGAGCTGCTGCTGGGAACCACCACCCAGACTACCAGTATTGACATGTGGTAAGAATCACTGCTGCTTCTGAGTCTCATGTCTCCTGGCTCCTGAGGTCAGCCCTGGGACAGGAGCACGAGAGGGGCTGGAGAGGTGGGCCTGATTGTGGATCCTAAGGGGAAGCATGAGAACATAGCTGGAGTGCTCCTTGGCTTCTGGCACCTCAGGTTCACAGAGGCAAAGTTGCAGGCCTGGTGGGAGCACTTCATGGCCACTAGCCTGTTTCTATATGGGTGTATTGACATGGGGTAAACAGATTGGTTGCTCCTGTAGGGCTGTTGGCTGCATCCTAGCAGAGCTGCTGGCCCATAAGCCCCTTCTCCCTGGCACTTCCGAGATCCACCAGATTGACTTGATCGTACAGCTCCTGGGGACACCCAGTGAGAACATCTGGCCGGTGGGTGTCATGGGCAGCCCCCAGTCCCTATTTGTGCTTGTGGCCCTGTGGCTCCAGCCCCTGCCTCCTGCAGGGCTTCTCCAAGCTGCCACTGGCCGGCCAGTACAGCTTAAGGAAACAGCCTTACAACAATCTCAAGCACAAGTTCCCGTGGCTCTCAGAGGCTGGACTTCGTCTGCTCAATTTCCTCTTCATGTATGACCCTAAGAAAAGGTAACAGAGTCCACCTACAGGCAGCTCCATGGGCCACACCCCTTAGGAGAGGGCCCTGTCTACTGTAGGGATGGAAGGATACCTTAAACCCAAACCCGTAATTTACTTTTTGTGGTATAGGGACTAGAAACCAGGACCCTGTTTGTGCTAGGCAAATGCTCTACCACTTAGCCACCTCAGCTCAACAAATCTTTTAAAGATGGTTTCTAAAAACACTGGCTATAGGTGCCCCCTCCTCAGACAAATAGATATACCCACGGGCCAGGTGCCCAGTTTGAGTGGCTTCTGCTCCCTTAGATCTTAGAGCCACTTTGAGCTTCCAGTCAGTTTCTAGGTCCCAACCCCTATTAGTTGGAAGTTGAATGGGGACTGCTGAGCCTGGTTGTGAAGAAAACAAGCCTTGCTGAGGCCAAAGGTCACTTGTCTTCTCCAGGGCAACAGCAGGGGACTGCCTGGAGAGCTCCTACTTCAAGGAGAAGCCCCTACGTAAGTTTCCCAGATCTCGAGACTTGGGCTCTGCTTTTGGGGGGCTTGGCAAACAGCTCTTTCTGTCCATACTGGGTGGGTTCCCAGTACAAGCAGAGTGAGGGCTTGCATGGCCTGTGCCAACTCCAAAGGGGTGGAGGAAGGGAGCAGATGGAGGATCAGGGCAAGTTTAAATGAAGAGTCAGTCCCATTCAGACAGGGGAAGCATGTCCCTATCACCTAGCCTGCCTGGGAAGCCCTTCCTCAGCCCAACACTGAGCTGCCTTTCTCCACAGCCTGTGAACCAGAGCTCATGCCCACCTTCCCCCACCACCGCAATAAGCGTGCTGCCCCAGCTGTCATGGAAGGGCAAAGCAAACGATGTAAGCCCTGACTGTGGGCCCAGCACATCCCTGCGCCTCCTCGTGGATCATCAGTCAACAGACCTGAGAGGGCCCCTGCAGGCCAGACTACAACTCCAGGGTCCAGCCTGTACCTTTGGTTCTTCAGCTAACCATCCTGCTTCTCAGCTGACTTCTTCCTGCTGTTTTATCAGTGCACAGATGCAGGCAGGGTGTAGATAGGGTTGATGGTGGATGGGGATACAGAGAGGCTGGGCTATTGTAGCACCATCCAGTGGTCTGTTTTTCATGGTGGCCTTGTCTGGTAATGAGTCATACTAGTCATGAAATTCCCACTGGCCCCTCAGTATAGTCTTGAAATCGGGGCTGCCACTAGCCTAGAGTGAACAGGCCTGGGAGACCACTGTTCCTGTTTAGCCACTAGAGGCTACCCAGGACAGATAGGCTGTAGTGACCCTGGGCAGGGCTGATGGGTCTTCAGGTGAGGAGGAATTGTATGTGGGGCATTAAGATACTTCTGAGACTCCTAGAAAAAGAGCTTGCTGATGTTGCGGATACTGATGCCCAGGGAGAGAAGTGACAGGCTCCCATTTCAGGGCTAGAGATAAAAAGCCTTCCAATGACAGTTTCACAATCCTTTAATGTACTGTGGGTTTTGATCCATGCAACATGGCCAATGTCCTCTGAGGGGCTTGAAGAGCAGAACGGGTGGCTGAAAGGATGCCGAGAGGAGGGGTTGCAAAGCACTGGTCAAAGTAGCTATGCCTCCAGATAGACTATGGAAACGCAGCTCTTCCCCATCCCTAGCCTGTGGGTTAGTGGTTTTAGGGACCCCAGGGTACCTGGGCTACTCCAAAGGGAAAGAAGCTGTGGCTTATCTCGTAATGGTCATCTGTCTGTCTAGGTTCAGCTACATCAGGCAGTGAGCTGCTGCTTTTGGCAGTATGCTGACCTCACTCTTTGGGAGAACCACTCCTGCTGGATAGGGGGTAATAGCACCTACCACTGCATGTTTGTGCAGTTCTGCATCTCTTCACTGACAGCAAGGGGGTCCCTCAAAACTAGGTGAGCTGTACCCTTTCAGAACCTCCCAGACTGGCCCAACTGGAATTCAGGTGCTTTATAGTATCACCTGCAGGCCCTTGAGGCAGCCCCTGTGAGAAGATTGTTTCAGACACATAATGGGAAAAAACATACCCTGCAATAACAGGGAGCAGGTAGAGAGCTTCAGGCAGTTCATGGATAGAATCTCTGGGGTTTAGTACTGTGACTTGTTCAGCCTGGGCTGCTCTACACTGTATCTCTGGACATGAGAACAGACATGGGGGAAGGATTCTATTAATTCAGCTCAGAGTCTGCTGCTGGCTAGGGCTGAGACATGGGTACTTCAGCAAGGAGAACCTAACATGGCCCTAGGCAGGAACATACCATTAAAGTTCTACCTTGTTCCACTGCAGGGTCTGAACTTCCCTGGGAACAGGAGAGCCAGGACAGCCAGTGACCCAAGCTCTTCCTCCAAAAAGCACCATGGAAACTATCTCCCTTAAACCTTTGACTTGGGGTCCAGTTGGGCCTAGGGATGGGCCCCAGGACTGTCATACAGCAGGGTATCCACCTGTGCTCGCTGCAGCCATAGACGCCTCTGAGTGTCACCAAGCAGTATGCGCAGTGAATGACTTGGGCGGCAGGCTGATAGAGCAGTGCAGAGTGTGGCATGTAGCTGGTGGCAAGTGTCACAACAGAGGGTGGGTAGGGTACCAGGGCTCAGGCAGCTGTGTGTCTGGTAGCCCAGGGGTTCAACAGCTGGCCCGTAAGTGGAGGCTGATGTTTCTTCTGCCTGCCTATGTCGGGGGCTAGACTGCCCAGGGTTCCCTGGGGCTTCAGGAGTGGCTAGGTCCCCTGACCGACTAAGCTCACGACGCAGAGAGAGGAAGGAGAAGGCTGAGGGCTCTGGCTCCAGCTCCTCTCCCAGGGCCCCATAGGGTGGGCTGCTGGCCTGAGGCAGGTCATCAGCTGGGGGCTCCCAGGGCCGGCCTCCAGTGCCCCATAGTTTGGCACTCTGTTCCCAGAGTGGTGGTCTATATGTCAATTCTGCTGGGGGTGAGTCCAGCCCTGGCGAGGGCTCCCCATACAGGCTGGCCTCAGAGCTCTCATCCTCCTGTAAGTCCTGGTACAGGTCCAGTGGGGCCCCATAAACTGCAGGTGTACCCCTGGGGGGTAGAGGTGGTGGCTCTTCATCCTGGGCCAGTCGCTGCTGTAGCCAGGCCACACATGAGGCCACATCCCCACTAGCTCGTCGTGCCCGGAGCAGTTCTTCGGCTGGTAGCACACTGGTACCCAGCTGGGTCAGCACCTCACCTAGGATCTCACATTCCAGCCGAAGAGCAAAGCAGCCTAGAGCCACCTGCACCAGCTGGCACGCAGGGGGTAGGGCAGTCACCATTAGACGGTGGTTGTCTCTGCGCACATAGCCCATCTTCTGGAAGCTTCGAGTCAGGAGCTCCTCAGACAGTACGCCCTTCAGCACATGCACATAGCCCCCTGAAAAGGTCTGCAACGAAGGGTCCTAGTCAGCAGTGCTGTCCCATATAGCCATTGGTCTTAGCCCTGCCTTGGCTTTGGTCAGCTTCTGAAGTTTATGCTCAGGCCCCAGAGGCTGTTCTCATCTGTCTGGGGTGATGAAAGATGACAGAATTTTTTTCTTGGGGGAGCGGGTTATGTACAACACAGTGCCACGTTTGCTAGGTAAGCACTGGGTCACATTCCCAGCCCTTTATGTACTTGTTTCAAGACAAGGATCGTTGTGTAGCCTAGCTTGACCCTAAGCTCACTATCCTCCTGCCTTAGCCTACAGGAATGTTTCACTATATTCTCTCCCCCCCCCCCCCATTATCTTGGAGCTCTGTCACTATCAGGGCTGGCATTTTGGTTCACTGACCTCCTATGTAGAATTCACATAGATGAAACTTTTAAAAATTTAATGTGTATGAGTGTTTTGCCTGCATGTATGTTAAGTACACCTATGTGTACAATGTCTGCAGTGTTATGGATGGTTGTTAGCCACCATATGGGTGCTGGGACTCAAACTCAGGTCCTCTGTAAGAGTGGTTAGTGCTCTTAAAAGGCTGAGCCATCTCTCCAGGGGTTCTAATGTGCAGCAGAGTGAGAGCACCCATGATGGGAAAGTGCTTTCTAGATCAAAGCTATGTGAAGAACCAAGGCATCACAACAATTGCAGCTTCTCCCAAGCCTGAACATTTATAGCTCTAGGCCTCCTTTAAGCACTGCTCCGCTTAGTACCACAACACCTTTCTTAGGGCTTTGCACCCTGGGGAACTGTTCTTATGCCCTCTTTGGGGCTTGGTGGGAGTAAGTAACTTGCTTAAAACCACACAGCTGGACCAGATCCCTTGCCAGCTCTGCCCCCAGCACTAGCCTTGCCCCAGCCTGTTTGCTTCGGTCCTCTGTGGTGGTGGGCGATCCTCCAGCCTAAAAGGATGAATGAAAGTCCCAGGATCTCAGGTGTCCTCGAGCAGCAGGCTGGCAGAGAAAAATGTGGAGGGGAGACGCTGCCTTGACAACCGGTGAAGGTTTACCTCGCCCACGTGTGCATAGACGTCATTACCTTCCCACTCAAAATTAGCTCAGAACGGCTCTGCCCCCTCTTGTCAGACAGCCAGCTGACCTAGGCCCCTACAGCCGGGGCCCCCTCCTCCCCTCCAGGCCAGCCGTGGATCTGCCTTTCTAACCTGGACCCAAGCAGGAACAAGGTCTGTTCTCCAGTCCGCCATCCACGGTTCTCTTCTGAGCCCTAGTGTTCTTTTATAGATGGGATCAGCCCACATCCTCGAAAATGACCATAGGAACTCAAGTGCCTCCCTCCCACACCTATCTGCATCTATCCTAGAAATTTCCATGGCAACAGGGGCAGTGAGGCTACTCTGAGGACAGTGATGTAAGCTCTTGGGGGCATGACTGTTTCATAGGCAGGCATCCCAAAACGCAGAACCCTTTCCGGAAGAAGACCAGCAGCCAGGGAAGGGAGTGGAGGAGCAGTCCACATCTTACCTTGATGGTCGTGAACTCCTTCCTCCAGGGCAGCAGGTACAGGTGCACAGCGGCCAGCTCCAGGAGTTCAAAGGCACGGGCCAGATCTCGCAGAGCGGGCGCCAGGTCCGCACGGCCCCACAAGCCGTCAGTGAGCAGCGCCAGCGCGTCGTCCTGTAGCGCCCCATGCAGGTCAAAGTCCTCCACCAGGATCTGCCAGAGCACGGCGCGCAGCGAGGGGTCGCCGCAGACGCCAGCGCGGCCTCGCCGCAGCTCGCGCTCTAGGCACTGGCGGTAGTCCTCGGACAGCGAGCTGCTGCCCATCCTGGCCTGGGGCGGGGGGCCGAGAGCTAGAGACCCGGTGGCACCAGTGTAACTCCCAAGCCCACACTCAGCATACCCCACAACCCAGAAACCTGGATTTGGCCAACTGAGTGGGTTCCGAGAGCTACCGTCCCCTTCAGTTTGGTGGAAACCTGGTTAGCCCGGGTAGCTACAGCCCCACCTCCGCCCCCCTTGCTGAGCGCCCGCGCACCCGCGGCGCCCCTCTTCCCCCGAGACGCGCTCCCGCCAGCCGAGCCCCACTCCCACCGACCGTGCTGCAGACCCCGAGCGCGGCGGCAGTACCTACTGTTCTCCAGCAGCCCCAAGCCCTCGCCACCCGAGCACGCACTCGCAGAGGCCTCCAGCTAGCAGCGGAAACACGCAGGGAGTCGGCCCCGCCCCGAGGCCTCCGCCGTGACGTCGGGGGCGAGGCTCCAGTTGGTGCCGCCCTCTCAGCAAAGGTGGGCGGGGCCGGGGTGAGTAGGGCTGTCCCCGGGCAGCTGGGAGCGGCCAGAGGTTGGGGGTGTCCCTGCCCTGCAACCTGCCTTTAGGGGGGGTCCTGGGAGCTTTGCTGTCCCGGAGTCCGCTGGTCTTTCTACCGATTTGTGGCCTTTCATGGCCAACTTCTGGGACGGTTGCAAGTGCACAGCAGGTGCTCAGTACAAGTGGCCTAGAACGAGAGCCAGGCCTGCCGGGGCGAGTCCGGAGAGTGGCCAAATACGGGGAAGGCGGGGCCTAGCTTGGCTGCGTGTCCTGGACCAGCGGAGCTCAAATACTTGTAGGTGCAATTTAAAACGGGTGGGGTCTGGGGAAATGGGTCAGTGGGTAAGAACACTTGCTTTTGCAAAGGCCCAAGGTTCGATTCCAGCACACACATGGCAGTTCACAACCATCTGTAACTTCAGTTCCATATCCCTCCTCGGGCCTCCGTGCGCAGTAGGCACTCACCTGGTACACATACATACATGCGTGCAGACAAAACATTCAAACACATGAAACACGGGTGACCTTCAAGTCTACTTCCACTGACTCTGGTTCCTGGTCTCCTATACTTCTCCATTCCCAGTCCCAGAGAACATTCATCCAGAGGTCTCTGAGGCAAGATGAAGGTGCTTCTCCCCAAGGGTGTGTCTGACCCACAGGTTTGCAGAACTGACCTGAGCAGGAATTCACCAGGACTTAGTTTAAGTGACAACTTGAAAGAGCATTTTCTTTCTCTTGCTGTGGTTTCATCTGCTTCACCCAGGGCTCAAGTCACTTGTCCTTAGTCCCTGGCTGAAGGAATGATGGAGAGTAAGCTCTGAGATTCATGAAGCAGGATCTTTTGTTTGACTCCTTCCTGGGTAGGCTCTGTTCCTTTCCTCTCCAGGCCACTAAACCAAAGCTCAAGTTTGGTGAGATGGAGCCTGCATGGGAAAAGTATCTGCCTTCTTGTAGAATTTCTAGATTCAAAGGACTTTTCAAATATTGCAACTAAGTTGGCATCCTGCTGGCTATCACTGAACAGAGATCTTTTGCTGTGTTTACTGAATCCATTCTTGCTAAGTGTAGCTGGTGGACCCACACCAATCCTGAGGGAACCTCCTACACCTTCAACTAACCTTCATTTTCTTCTTGTGCTGAGGAGGGTTGAGAGAACCATTCTCCATTTATGACACCAGTTCCTCCATCTGGTTTGGTTTAGCTCTCTTCACATTGACCCTGCCTGGGTTAGCTGAGGTGACATTGTGTGACTTCCAAGGCCAGATCATAAAGATGCCATGCCTTGCTGGACATGGTGCATACCTTTAATTCCATCACTCAGGAGACAGAGAGGTGAATCTCTGAGTTTGAGGCCAGCCAGAGGTACATAATAAGACCCTGTCTCAAAACAAAAATAAAAACGGAAAGATGCCATACTTGTTTCAAGACATACTTGTTTCAAGCAGCCAAATAGAGGCTTTGGGGGCTGGGGATGTAGCTCAGAGATAGGGCACTCACCTAGTATACACAAGGTCCTAAATTCAATCTCTAGCACTGAAAACACACACACACACACACACACACACACACAAATGGAGATGCCTTATAGTAGGCTAATGTCCACCTGCAAATGTGTTTTCTCCAGTTGGAACCAAGATGTTATTCTGGATTAGGATGGACCCTAACTTATTGGTGTCCTTATAAGAAAATTTTTAGCTGGGTGTGGGTGGTGCATGCCTTTAGTCCCAGCACTTGGGAGGCAGAGGCAGGCAGATCTCTGTGAGTTCGAGCCTGGTCTACCTAATGAGTTCCAGGACAGCTGGGGCTACAGGGAGACCCTGTCTCAAAAAAAGACAAAAAAAAAAAAGTTTTATATACAGAAGGTTATATGGAGGCAGAGATGGGAGTGATAGAGCTTCATGTCACTAAATGTCACTGAATTCTGAAGGCAGGAAGGACCCTCTTCTAGAGTTTTACAGGGAATGCAGTCCTATTGATTTTAGACTTCTGGCCTGCAGAATTATAATGGTAAATTTCCAGTTTTAAAACCCTCATTTTGTGGTGGTTTGTTACAACATCCAGGCCTCGTGTAGTTGTTCTGACTGCCTTGGTTGAGGTCCCAGTTAACCATCAGCATTGACTTCAGATGTGGGCAGATCTTCAGACAGACCCAACCCCTTGTCATAAGTTACAATCTGGAATTTGCTTTAGTTGAAGCTAGGAAGAGGATAGACACAAGCTCTACATGTGGACCCCTACCTAATTGTAAAATACACGAACAACATAAATGGCTTGTGCATTTGAGCCACGGAGTTGAGTGGATTGATTTGCAGCCACAGCCACTGGCCCTTTGCCTTCCTTGTTCTCCCAGGGTGAGCAACATATCACTGCATGTCCTCTGTATGTTACACATTCTCCATGAACCTTGGTTTCACCAGAGTGGACTTGTTAGAGGGGCCATTCACACTTATCTTGCCTAGAACTATAAACTGAGTACTGCCAAGTCTACCCACAGCTGTGTCCTCCCCACCATCATATACAGCATTGTCTAGCTTCATAAAATTTCCAATTCAGGGGCTGGAGAAATGGCTCAGTGGTTAACAGCACTGGCTGTTCTAACAGAAGATCCAGGTTTGGTTCCCAGCACCAACATGGCAACTAACAGCCATCCATAACTCTAGTTCCAGGGGATCTAATGATCTAATGCTCTCTTCTGACCTCTAGGGGCATTACATGTACATGATGCATGCAAGCAAAACACTCGTGAAAAGTTTCCTCAATTCAATGGTATGCAGATGTTAATGTTAATTGCTTTAACTTGCAACTCTTTTTTGTTTTTTTGAAACAGTGTCTCCCTGTAGCCCCAGCTGCCCTGGAACTCACTATGTAGACCAGGCTGGCCTTGAACTCACAGAGAGATCCATCTGCCTCTGCCTCCCGAGTGCTGGGATTAAAGGTGTTCCACCATGCCTGGTGTTTAAAATGAGTGTTTTTCCTGCATATATGTAAGTGCACCTGTGCAAGAGTACCTGCGGAGGCCAGAAGATAGCATCAGATCCCCTGGAGCTGGAGTTATGGATGGTTGTTAGGCACCATATGGGTGCTGGGAACCGAACTTGGGTCCTCTGCAACAGCCAGTGCTCTTAACTGTTGAGCTGTCTCTCCAGTCCCTAACTTACATTTCTTGATTGTGCTTGTGACTCGAGCCACTTTTATGCTAGTTAGGTCTCCCTCTCTCTCCTTTAAACAGAATCTTGCTATATAGCCCAGGATGGTCTAGAACTTGAGGGCCTCTGCCTCTGGAGTGCTGAATTAAAGGCATAAGCCACCATACCAGGTCTGGGATTACTTTTGTCCATATATATAGTCTGCTAGGAGCTATACTATTTTTGTAGTTTTGGCTCTTGGCTTTTTCTTACTGCTGTACAGGCTTTTCTGTAGAAAAAATTCTGCTGTTCACCCCTTCTCTTTGAAGGGACCACAGATTTAGAAAGGCTGAAGGAATAACCCAAAGATACGCTTGACTTTGTCCTATCACCAGAATATGACAAGCTTTGGTAAGAGCTGGGCCTCTTCTAAGCTGGTGCTCTACAAGGACAAGGCCATGTTTAGCCAATATTATGAAGCCCAATGGTGAGAGGGTGGTGGAGTGGAAGAGTTCAAGCCAGGCATCTCCCCAAGTGCTGCTCAAAATGGAGATGAATTTGGACTTCAAGGTTCAGCTATGTAGCTCAACACCATGCCAAGGAAATCAAAGTTGGTAGTAGGAAGTATTATAATTTTTGTTCCAGCTCCTCAACTGAAATCTTTGCAGAAAATCCAGTTAGAGTAGGAATTTTGCACTGCTCAGAGAATTCAACCTAAACCAACCTGAAAAAGCCATGCATATAACAAGTAAATATATCGTAAGGCACCATGTGATCCTTGAAAACCTGGTCTTCCTAAGAGACAGTGTCAGCAGGATCCACATGAAACTGGATACTGACTAGCTCATTAAGGTTCATTTGGGATGCTGGGGATGTAGCTTAGTTGTAAGAATGCTTGCCTAGCATGCAAGAATCCCTGGGTTCCACTGACAGCATCACATAAACGCAGCATGGTATCACAGGCCTGTAGTCACAGCAATTGGGAGATGGAGGAGAACCAGAAGTTCAAGGTTGTCTTGGCTGTACAGCAAGTTAGAGGCCAGCATGGAATAAACGAGCCTGTCTCAAAAACAAAACAACAAAACACCCCCGACAAACAAAGGTTAACTTGAACAAACAATATCAGAACATAGAACACAGGCTAAAACTTTTTGTAGTTCTCTATAAGAAGCCTACAAGCAAAGTTGATTTTGAATTCTGAGTTTCAGTTTTAAGCAAAAATGGCTAAACCATGATTCACAATTTTAAAAAAGGCAGCAGCACCTAAACACAAACCTGCCTCATCGTAGTGCTAGGGTCAACTAAGCAGCACTGTTCAGCCCTCCCGGGTATGACGTAGGTGTGGCCTGAGCACAAGCCAACAGGTACTCCCCAAACTAGGACCCACTTGACACACAAACCATTGCCCATGCTTCTGTCAAGTGGGACTTTAAAATCCACTTGTCAACATCAAAGCCAAGGCCTGCAGGAGGTACATTAACATACCATAAGGCTCTGGAGCTGCCTAGCATTCATGCCCAAGTTCTGGGGACCAAGGAATCTGCACTTCACTGGAGCATGAGCCTTTGACTGGTGATGAGCTTCTTGGACACAGCAGAGTGCCAAAAACCCAAATCAGCTGGGACAGAAGTTTGTGCCTCAGCAGCAGGCTGGACATGGAGTTGAAATCTCTTAGTGTGGTACTAGAAAAGTAGGGACCAGTCTGTTCTGATGCTGGTGGGCAGAAATTGCTAGGAGCTCAGGCCCTTTCCCGCTGCAAGGAGGCTCTTTCCAGAGATCAGGTGCCCCAGGAACTATGTTGCCCTGCCCAGGCCCACTTGGGCCCAGCACCTGCTCTTGGTGTCATGGTCCCAGGCATCTACAGCACCACTTGCAGAGTAGCTTTTGAAATTAGCCTACCAGGCTCAAAGTGGCATGTTGCCTGTTTCCTTGAGGGGGCAAACAAATCATAACTTGAAGGTTTTGAACAGAGTGCCAAATAAATGCCACTGTTACTGTTTGTATGACCTTTTCCCCCAAGAATTCCTAATAATCCCACTACCACTCCTGGTGGTCTGAAGCTAGGATCCTCTCCTAAGCACTCTGCCACCTACCTTTCCCACAGCAACCTGTTTCCAGGGGTCCTTCCTTTTCTGGGTAGAGCAGCCTACCTCTCTGGCAGGTGCTGCTTGTGCCTGGATGCCTACCTCCTCTTAGGGCCCCATTATCACCGCAGAGTATCTGTGTGTCTGTGCACAGGGTAAAGATTCCTGAAATACCTTCAGGATACTGCTGTAGGCTCAGTGCTGCAGTGGTGACCCTGATCCTGACTTCCCAATGATATACCCTACAGACCCTTACCATCCTAGAGGGTAAAGCCCATACCTACCTGGTTGGGTACAGCCCTGGGAAGATACTACCTCTGCACAGAGGATCCGGGGGTAGGATGTAACCCTCATCATCCTGTCCTCTGTGATCTCTGGGAGACTGGCATAGGGTGGGTGTACTGCCTGAGTCCTACCTGCCCAGGGGGTGAATGAACAAGCCACATGAACTCAGAGTGACCTCTTTATTTTAGGCTGAGTTGGTGGCCACTTGGGGCATGTAACAGTCAAGGTGTTGACCCTTGGGTTCTCACTGATACAGGAGAGGCTGTATAGCTGTGGGAGTTGGCCAGGGTCCTGCATGTTTATTGCCCCTCACCAAGGTAAGTCTGGAGTAGGAATGTCCTGGATTTGGGTAGGAGCAATGCTCATATCCCAGGCATGGGCAGAGATATCTGGGCCAACAAAAGTGAGTGGGGCAGTTGCTCAGTTGCTGCCCAATAAATAAACAACCTAGCTTTATACTCCCTACACCCGGTCTTCTAGGTTAAGAAGGCTCTCTTGTTCTTGGCTCTAACAAGAAACTGGCTCAAATTTTAGCTGTCCCAAAGGATTGGAGAGGTGCAAAACCAGACAGCTGTGTTAGCCTTGGATAGGCTCCTAATGCCCATTTCTGTGTTGCTATCCTAATAGGGGCTGCCCAGTGTCCATGAGAGCAGGCCAGGGCCAGCCATGTTTACTGGAGGACCATCAGGGATGCAGAGCCCCTAAGGAGTGGCAGCTACAGGTATCATCTATGGGACCTGAGAGGCAGGGCCAGGATAGAACAGGCTTGACACATGGAGTTGACTCAGCTCTGTGCTAGAGAAGAGGCACTACCCTAGGTTTCCAGGGGAGATGTGGAGCTAGAAAGAAGGACAAGAGCTGAAGAGTGCCGCCACATCAGGCTGGCCTCTAGTGTCCCATGACTGGATGTGCAGGGCATATAAAGTTCCTGTGGCTCCTTTGGTCCCTGAGGTCCAGCCTCCACTACTTGCCAAGGCCCCCTCGAGACAGCAGCTCCACATAGCTCAGGGCACTCTGCAGTGATGTCAGGCAGTATCCTTCTTCTCCAATCAGGTACCTGTATGGAGGTAGGCAAAGAGGCATGTGTCACCTGAAGGGGACAGAAGACCAAGCTAGTGCTCTGGCAAATCTGCCCTTCTCACCTAGACACTGATTGACCACAGCTAAGGCTTTCAGGGAGCTGGGTGGGGGAAACCTTTCATCACTCCTGGTCCTGACCCAGAGATGGCCTTGGAGCATGTACTGCCCTTCTATAGGCAAATGCTGTTCAGCGAGATGCCCTTCAACTCCAATCTAGGGTCTGCAGAGTGAAGGGCTGTGGAACACACTGGTATGAGTAGTACCCTAGAGGGCTGCTCAAAATTGATTGTGGTGCTACATGCCTCCCCCGCAACCCTCACAGCCTATCACTGCAACTGGTTTAGTTGTCTGGGGGTGAGGTTCCCTTGCCCCCATTGCCATATAAGACCTCCACCCTGGGGAGTGCACGTCAGCCCCCAATCCCCTGCTGGACTGGGGCTCCTTCCTACCCTTCGTGAGTGAATTCCTCTAGCGCTGCACACTCTGATACCAGCTGGGGGAGGCCACTCCTCAGCACCACAAAGGACAGGATGGGTAGCAGGTCATCAGCACCACTGCTGGGCAAAGGTACAGGGGCCAGTGAACATATAGCCAAAGGGTCCACTTGTTCCTGCTGTCTGGAGCCATCTCGGCCTGGCTGGCTATAATCCCTGTACCCTTCCACCCACTAGTACAGGAAACTTCCTGGCCATGGCAACACTGTACCCAAACAAGTGTCAGTAGCTGGATACACTGGAGGCCTTTCTGCTTCTCCAATGGGCTGTGTTCTTAGGCTTTTTGGAACTTAGGAGCAAGAGACAGATTGGTGGACACTCACCACAGCACTAGATTCTCTGGACCCACCTCAGTAGAGGTGCACAAGAAGGCTATGTGGCTTCTGGGGAGAGCATAGAGACCAATAAGCAAGGAGGTAGCTAGAACCTGAGACCTTGATTTGGGTCTGGCTTCTTCCCCATGGGCCAGGGAGACTCCACCCACCTTCTCAATGTCCTGCCACCTGTAGAGACATGATGGCCTCCCACTGATGGGGTTTGGACCAAGACTATGATTTGCAAACTTTTAGCCTGGAAATTTTTTAAATTTTTATTTTATGTATATTACTATATTGTCTCCATGTGTGTTAGTGTACCCGTGTTGGCAGTGGACAGAAGAGGCATCGGAACCCCTGAAACTGGAATTACAGTTGTTAGTTGCCATATGGGTGCTGGGATTCAAACCTGGGTTTTCTGCAAGAACAGCCAGTGCTCTTAACTGCCTAGCCACCTCTCCAGCCCCCATGGGAACTTTATTTTATTTTTTGGTCTTTTTGAGACAGGGTCTCCCTGTAGCCTCAGCTGGCCTGGAACTCACTATGTAGACCAGGCTGGCCTTGAACTCACAGAGATCCGCCTGCCTCTGCCTCCTGAGTGCTGGGATTAAAGGCATGCGCCACCACGCCCCACTCCCATGGGAACTTTTTTAATAAAATGAGTAAAGAGGGCAAGGGGTGGCAGGTCCTGTGGTGGGGCTGGACTAACAACCCAGCTTTGGAGTGGGTGAGAAGTATCTGTCCTTCCCTCCCCTTGAGTCCAGCTCCTCATGGGTGACTTTATACTTGGCTCTGATGTTTACTTACAGGGCTCCAGCTGCAGGCCAGGGTCACAGCCCCTTAGTCTGCAATGACTGGTGTCCTCAGGACTGACCAGAGCCCCAGGCCATGTGACTTGGGCGGGGGGGGGGGAGTGGATGTGGAAGGGAAGCCCCAGTGCTGGGAGATCAGTGCAGGAAATGTGTCTTTTTTCAGGCTTACACCTTCCCTGCCCCCTCTAGGTATGCACCTAGGGGTCCAGACATGTGCTTCTGGGGAGATCACCCTCTGTTTCACCAGATTAACAAGGGCCCAGATCTCTGTGATCCCCTGGCTTAGACAGAGGGTACTGCAATAGCAACCCTGTCCAGATAGGCTGGAATGCATGGTTGTGTGGGTGGGAGTCTTCTTTCCTGCCCTCTCAACCCATTGTCAGTAGGAATGAGCTGTGCGTGACATGTTCAGGGAAGCAGTACCACCAGGGTCCTTTTTGGTCAGACATAGGGCAGGACACATATACTAGAGTTCCCCTAGGAAGTACCACCCCATTCTGGACTCACATGGCAGCAGCATGAGGCTGGGGTCCAGCTTTGGGCCTGGCTTCTTGGGCACGGCAATAGTCTTCTGCACAGATGCAGATGACCCGCAGAGTCCGCACTATGGTACAGAAACATGGCTTCAGTGGAGTGTAGTAGGGTCGGGGTGATGCAGGAGGATTTAGCAGGGGTAGGAAGACTTGAAGGATCCAGTGGAGGGGAGATCATGCTGTCACTTCCATCCAGGGGTCTCCTGATACTGCCCACCCTCTCCTGATAATGCAGGACTACAGAAGGATAGCACCAACCCTCCTGGAGGGTATCACCCCCATATTTGACTAGTGACGGGCTTCTATGCTAGGGGGAAGGCACCACATCCCTGCCTTCCACCTGTCAAACCTCTGGGCCCCTCAGACCCCCGCACCAATGCACTCCAGCTTCTTCTGGGGACAGCTCTCCAGGATCAGCAGCCCCAGCTCCTGGGCCGCAGTGCTGTATGGGTAGGTGGAGGCTCCTTGAGCCTCAGGGACACGGGGGAGGAGCTTGGTGGGGATGCCAAGGGCTGTGGGTGGCGCATTCCTGTACAGCTCCATACTCCTGCTCACAGCAGCCTCCCGGCTTCGGTGCACACTCCTAGAGCAAAGAGGCCAGGCTTAACTACCATAGAGATGCTGTTCCATAGACAAGCATGGCTGTGGCTGGGGTTTCTGGAGCTTGGTCCTGGGAGAGCTGGTCATGCATCTGAGAAAACAGCTTGACTGTCCCCAAAACGAGGAGGTAGGCAAAGCCACCTATAAACTTAAGACACCTGAGGATGGCCTCAGGATCAGAGAGGGACAGGCCCCTGGGAGACTGAGATGGAGACTCCAGCTCATAGGGGTTGTCAGTTGGCTGAGGGCAGTACCTGTAGAGGGCCAGCAGCAGGGGCCACAGTGGGGAGAAGAAGGGCTCTTCAATACATGCCAGGCAGCGGTCCTTGGAGGTGGCTGTATTCAGGCTTTCAAAGGCCAGAAGAGTCAGTGAGAGCAGCCTATCTGCCAGGAACAGAGTTGGGGATGTCCAGACAGGCCCCTTACCTGCCCCCACCTCTTTAGAAGCTCCACACCTAGAGCCAAGGTGCCTCATTCCCTACAGGTAGCTTCTGTGCAACTAAGCTACAGATAGGATCCAGATTTGGAGGGAAGGGGGCTTCAATCTGGTTATTCCTACTTGCTGACACCCCCACCCCCACCTATTCTATGTCATGTGGTCTGGGGTCAGGTCTCAGCTCTTCTTCCTTAGGGCTAATTTGGTTATACACATCTCCCATGTAGCTAAGTGGTATGCAGAGGCAAGGAGATAACAGCCTCTTTCTGAAAAGAGGCTCCTATGTTTACAGAAACCTAAGGGACTTTAGAATCATGAATAAGGTCCCAACCTGCTGAACCTTCCTCACTGATTCAGAGAAGACCTAGGAGCCTTGGGGTGAGCACGGCCAGGTCATCTGCTGATCAGAAGCTGTGATAGGCCTTCCACCAACAGAAGAGCAGACTGGCCCAGGGAAAGAGTCGAGGGGCGAATAGGCCTAGTCTCCTGGTCTCCCTGTGTAGGCCTGTAGGCCAAAAGGGAAGACACCACATCCCTGTGCTCTGACACTAGTCCCACTCACTTTCTGAAGGACTGGGATGGACCAAGGCCTGCTCTACTGGGCTGAGCTTGGTCCTATGGTAGGTGGACAGAGGGCTTTGCTGTCCAGGGCAGTGAGTTGCACTTGAGGGCTGGAAGATACAATTGGGGCAGCTCCTGTGTTGGTGCCTGCAGGCTCACCAATGGCATTGTGTATATCCTTCACTGTACTCTTCAGACATTCCAGTAAGGGTTCTCTCTTTGCTCCTGTGGTCTGTGACTCAGATTGTGACCCAGTGCCCTGGCCCCACTTCTCAGATATAGCCAAAAACTGTTCCAGGTCCTCAAAGGAGCTGTCCTTATCTGGCAGGCAGGATGAAACCTCTACCAGGGGTGATGAAGGCCCTGCTGGGCTGCTGTCTGCTCCTCTGTCCAGGGGGCCAGGGTAAAGTGGAGGGGTAAGGGGGGTGGCATGAGGTCCATCCAGGGGCCTTGGGGCTGCACTGGGCTCTGAGGGGGAAAGCATGCAGTAGAGGCTCTGGGAAGACCGAAGTCGCCGGCTCCCGGGAGCCAGTAGCCCATTGGCATCTGGGGGCAGTGAGCAGCAGCCCAGGGCAGGTGCAGCACTGACAGCAGTCTGGCTCACAACTGGGTACAATGCACTGTATACTGCACACTGGAGCTTCTTCAGGAGCTTCGAAATTGGGTGGTCAGGAAGGCTGCAAGGAGAGGAGCAGACTGGCAGGCAAGATGCAGTTGGGCCCTAAAGAGTCCACCCCAGAGGGCATCTTCTATGTTCACCCATTGTTTTCATCCCCAGCAAAGAGTAAGCACCACAGGGACTGCCATCAGAGCTAGGCAGGGCCTCAATCTACTCTCTGGCTTTAAGCTAACAAAATCTGAGCTCAGTCCCTATAACTGACCTCAGCCACTTGAACCTCAGGTCCTCATCTGTGACATTACCTGTCTATAAAAATTGTCACACTACAAAAGATTTCAGAAAAGTAACTCCTCTGCTACTCCCTATAGGCATTATAAAGTCTGACCTATCCCACCTGGAGAAGCTAATGGAAGCCAATGAAAACCCATTAACACAAAGGGTCCTTGGTGCTGCCAATCTCGAGTCAGCAGCACTGGCCCCTCTGTAGGCACCTCCTGCCCCCAGGCCTGCTGTCTTCCCAGCCCTTCTAAATAATGTCTTTTCTTTCTAACTCTTGCTATCTTCCAACAGCAAACAGGAAAAACTCCAGGTTAGGGGATGGGGTCTATGAGTACCTGAGCAACTGGGAGACTAGGTTGGTCACTAGTGCCAGGTCCCCTGGGCTCCTCTTGAGCTTGGCTCTCCAATACTTTGGCCAGTCCTACAGGACAGAGGACCTTGGAGGATTCCGCATGGTGGGTTCCCCACAGTGGGGTACCCTGCTAGGGTCACGTGAGGTTACTCTCAAGTGTGGGGGAAAACAAACTCCTGTATGGGCCCGTGTAATCCCAGTTCTGCCATCCCTCTACTTGGACCAGTGAGACTCACATGGTCTTGTTCATATTCCAGGATGGCAGCATAGAGAGATCGCTGTTCCTGCTCCTCTGGGGTAAGGGCAACCTGACTGCAGAACCTCCTGGGGAGGAAGACAAGCTGGGCACAAGGCTGGACCTGTGGACTCGGGAGCCGCTGCCCAGCCTCCCAGCATGCCTATGAAACAGACAGGAGGCACACCTGTTGGCAGCCTCCTGGAGCCGCAGGCGGCGCTCTTCCATCTTCCTCTGGAGCTAGGGTGGCAGAGTCAAGGGACCAGCAGTGTCTGACTTGAATGGGCCTTCACTCTTGCCCTATGCCTCATCTGCTCTACATTCCCCAAGTACCTGAGATATCCCAGGGGTCCAGCAGGCAGGTAAGACTGCCTCTGCCCTCCACAGATGAGCCTAGCAGTAGGCAAGCCCCAAAGAACAGGCACTAGCTCGGGGAGGCAAACTTGACAAATAGCAGTTAATCAACACTAGGGAAGGTAAAGGGCAGCTCATTCAGAGAGGTGAGGAGGGTAGAGGCTAAGGAGGACCTGGAAAGCAGAGTAAAGGTCAGGGTCATCTCTTTGGAGAGATTCTTCTTCACAGCTGGAAAGGCTCATAGTCCCACACCCAGCTGGCACCTGGTTCCTCCTCCCTATCTACCTCTTCTCCACCCTCAGCTCAAGATCACACTTTCATCTCCCCTCAAGGATGCTGTCTCCTCTCTGGCTTTGGCAATCACCAGATTCTCCATCATCTGTCGTTGCAGAGACAGGGTCTAGGAAGGAAAGAGGGAGTAAAAACCAGTTCTCACTTGCCCTGGACCCTTCTCCCCGACCAATCCCTTCTCTGAGCTCTGGCTCACCAGTGATGTCTTCTGCATGGCCTGGCTAGGATCCAGACGGGCCATCCGGGCCTCATATGTGGCCCTCAGCTTCTGGTTCTGCAGGGAGGCCTCCTCCAATGGCGTTAGCTCCCTACGAATAGTAACAAGCTGCTGTCCATGTGCAAGAAGTCCAGGAGTGTTTTTGTGACCTGAGCAGTTATCTTCACACCCCTCTTGACCTCATTCTGAGACCAAGAGGTAAGAAGGTGATGATCAGGCAGGAAGGAAACTTAGAGGGGTAGTCTAGGAGAGGCTAAAAATACTGTCCCTTTGAATCTGCTGTCAAAACATGGGCATTGATATTGTCAGGGCTTTGAGCTTCTCAAGAGAAGCTGGGAATTTGGATTTTTATGAAAATCAGTTATATTTCTATGCCAACAATATGGATTCCTGAAAGGGAGGTACTATAGGGGCCAAACACCAAGATTCATTTGTAGCCCACCAAAGGGGAAAATGTCTATTCAGTAAAGTACAGCAGCATGCCACACTCTTCTCTGCTTTCAGAGGTGGCAGACAACAGGATGTGAAGACTGAGGAAGTTTGTGTCTGGCCCAGCGCTGAAGCTGCACACACAGACAGAAGGTGCCTGGGGAGTAAGAAGGGGAAGGTACCCCTCAGATTTGGGGAAAGAGGGTCCTGATTCATCAATGTAGGGCCACTGGGTTTCTTGCATCTGAGTCTTGGTGTTTTTCATTAGTTCTAAAAATTGTTTGCTGTTACAGCTTCAAATAAGGCCTCTCCCCATTATCTTTCTTCTCTTTCTAGAACTTCAAGAAATATGCTAAGCCTTCTGTCTTTCCTATTTTCTGTCTTGTTTCTGTCACACCTGGATTTTTTAAAAATCTTTTGCCAATTTATGAATTTTCTCTTTTTGTTATAAACCTGTGTACTTTTTTTTCTTTTCTTTTGAGACAGGGTCTCATGTAGGCCAGGTTGTCCTTGAACTTGCTATGTAGTGAGGCTGGCCCTGAACTCATAATAGTCCTTCTTCTAGTTCCCAAGATCTGGGACTACAGACATATGCTACCACTCCTGGAATCCCAACTAGGTTTTTTTCCTTTTTGAAAAAGGAAAAAAAGGGTCTCATATCTCAGACTGGCCTCAAACTCACTATATAGCTGAGGGTGGCCTTGAAACTCCTGATCATCCTGCCTCACTTCCTAAGTACCAGGATTATAGGCATGTACCACCACAACCAGTTTATGCAGTGCTGGGGATCAAATCGAGAAACTCATGCATACTAGACAGGCACTCTATCATTGAGCTACATTCCCAACTACCTAACTAGTTTTATTTTTATTTTTATTATTATTATTATTTTTTGTCTTTTTTGAGACAGGGTCTCCCTGTAGCCCCAGCTGTCCTGGATTCACCATGGAGACCAGGCTGGCCTCAGACTCACAGAGATCCGCCTGCCTCTGCCTCCCGAGTGCTGGGATTAAAGGCGTGCACCACCACACCCAGCTAGTTTTAATTTTTATTTTATTTAATTTTTGGTCTTTTTGAGACAGTCACCCTGTGGCCACAGCTGACCTCCATCTCCCAGCAATCCACTTGCCTCTGCCTCGTGAGTGCTAGGATTAAAGGTATGTTCTACCATGCCTGGCTCCCTAACTAGTTTTTAAAAACTACTTTCAACATTGTATTTTTTAAAATTTACTTCTACTCCAATTTTTATTGCTGGATCTATCTCTATAGTTTCTTGTTCAGATGGGTTTTTATTTTTGTTTGTTTGTTTGGTTTTTTTTTGGTCTTTTTGAGACTAGGTCTCCCTGTAGCCCCAGCTGGCCTGGAACTCATGGAGATCCACCTGCTTTTGCTTCCCAAGTGCTGGGACTAAAGGCATGAGCCACTACGCCCAGTTTCTTATTCAGATGTTTTCAAATGGGTTTTATATCTTTAAACAGAGCTCAATGTATCTGTGCCTGATAACTATTTGAAAACTTTGCAGGTTTCTGTCATTAGTTCCTTATCATTTTTTTTTCCTTTTTCAAATGGCTGTCTTTGTGGGCTATTAATTTTATGAAAAATGAAGGTTCTTTTCTCTTAAGAGGATTTACAACTGGTTTTGTCAGGCATAGGGTGTGCCTACTCTGGGACCTACTTTTACCAAGTGCCCCATGGAAAGTTCACTTTGCTTGGCTTCCAAACCCATCCACAGGATTAGCACACGTCCCATCTTGTCCATCTTACTTCTTGGAGCTTTGTGATTCTGCCACCTGCAGCTTCTGGAAGATCTCAGGAGGCAGGAAAGGAGCGAGCTTCCCTCCTTCATCTGAACACACTCGGCGGTGTCGGGTGGTAGGCAAGGGGACAGGAGAGGCCACAGGTACAGCTGGCTTTACACATGTTTTCCCTGCAAGCCATGCAGAGCCAGGGGTCAGTAGGTTGGGAACCATCCCACAAAGTAGATGACAACTAGAAGCTACCAGGTGAGCCATGTTCTCTGGGTACCCACCAAGTTTTGTAGCTGTTGACTGGGCCCGTTCCAGACACTGCTCAGCTAGCTTCAGCATCTTTGAGGTATCAGGGGGCACAGTTTCCCCAGCTTCTGGGAAAGGACATGAAAGCTAGTTATAGTCAGTTCTACCATGAATCAGATACTTAGTAAGAACAAGGAACTGGAAAAGCTGGGCAAGCTCACTCTTCATTCATGTGATTATCAGGGCTCAAGCCCTTGGCAGCCCAGCATCAGACTGACACTTACCCTTCATTGGCTCCTGAGTGTCCAGTGTCTGCAGTCCTTACCAGGCCCACCTGCAACTTCAGTTCCTCTGGGGATGGGCATGCAGCTTCATAGCCACTGCACAGACACTTGGATGTGTGTAGACTCTCCTGGCCCCAACCACCTACTAGCTTTCTATGCCACAGACTTACCCCAGAAGGAAGAGGAGCAAGTACTCCCACTTTTCCATACCTCCATAGATGGGCCTGTTTATCTCAGCAGAGACATCTTCTTCCTGAACCCTGACAAGTCCACCCAGCTCTTGGATCTACTCTCCTGTTCCTCCTTTCAACAAACCCCTCACAGACTCTATTTTCTCCTCTGTTTTAGCACCCAACTTCCCCAAAACTGTCCCTATCCATTCCTACTTTACCAAAGATGGCAGGCTACTTGAGTTTGTTGTCATCTGGGATGCCATCTTCCCTCCGGGCTTCTCCTGCCAGTTTCTCTTCCCAATGTCTCAATCTAGGGAATGCCAGAACTTAGCTGAGCTCACTTACTCTCTGATAGTTCAGACTATGGTCCCCTGTCCAGTGGGATGTTTGTCCCTCAGACTGTACATGTTCACAGTGGAATTCTCTGTTTTTAAGGGTCTAATGCATCCAAGGCTGGCTTCAAACTCACTATGTATCTGAAAGCAATCTTGAACTTCTGATTCTCCTACCTTTTCCTCCTGAATGCTGAGATTTCAAGCATGTGCTATCATAGCTGGTTTATGCAGTGCTAGGACTCAAATCCAAGTCTTTTTGTATGCTAGGCAAACACTCTACCAAATGATCTACATCAGTAATCCCATGATGAAATTCTGTTTCTCCCCTCACACATGATGTTGCCCATCATCTGTCCCAGACATTAGCAGCTCACTATCAACCCCCAGAAAGCCTGGTTAGCTTCTTCTTCAATACACTCAAGCTCTTTGTTCCTCCTGACCCTGTGTGGTTTAGCTTCTGCTCCCATGTTGGCCACTCCCACAAAATTCAAAGCTTCCCTTCACACATAAACTCCTCAATTCCATTCAAAATGAACAGAGCTCCATCACACCCACTTCCTTCTCAGGACTTTTGCATGCACCTCTGCTGGCAATGCTCCCACCTTTGTACAGCTCACTTTGTACTGTTCTGAGCCAGTATCTTGACCTACTCCATTATCTACTCTCTTACTTATGGCACTGCCCCTCAGTGCTGCCATATTAGATTATGACAGCCCATGCTCATGCCAATGATGAGGTTGGAAAGAAGCAGGGGACTTCCAGGTGTAGGAACCATCAAGGACTAAGTTACCCACAATCTGGCCTACATGAGCAGCAAGTCTGAAAGCATACCTTTAGTGTTTTCCACTTCTTCCAGTAACACCTGGGAGATGTAGTGGATACTCCTCAGGTATTCCATGTATGCCTCCTGTATGTGGGGAAAGGAATAGCAAGGGTCAGGTCAACAGAGGGGAGTGACTGCATCATGCCTGCCAAGTAGATATCCTTGTGGGAAACACAGGATCAAGAATACCTGCTCATTTTTGAGATTTCTAGGCTACAGTGATGATTCATCTAGGACAGAGACAGTATCCCCACTGCGTAGACTTGAAGGAAAAGATGTTAGCACCTGAGAACAAAATTGGGATACTTCTTCCTGTAACTTCTGCACTAGAGAGTAGAACTGGGAACCAGTTGGACACATCTTTTCTCTCACTTTTTTTCCTCTCCAGCACATGAAGGAACTGAACTTTAATCTGAGGACCTGGCAAAGCAGACTCAGCAATGCTACCATTTCCACTCTGTATAACAAGTAATCTTCCTGTATAACTCAAAGGCCAGCATTCAATGGCTTAAGAAAATATTTCCTGAGAGCCTAAGGAGGGAATAAGGGCTCATATCTCAGCCTCACTTTCTGGCTTAGGTTATGTGAAATAACAAGTCTCCAAATCCTAGAGTAAGAATTTCCTGTGCTATGGGCCAGGTGAGGTGGTGCACACCTTTAACCCCAGCACCTGGGAGGCAGAGACAGGCAGATCTCTGTGAGTTCCAGGCCAGCCTGGTCTACATAGTGAGTTTCACGCCAGCTGGGTCAACAGGGAGACTCTGTCTCAAAAAAGGAAAACAAAACAAAACAAAAAAAAAATACTTTCTTGTGCTTATAGGAGCCCAGAGTCCTGAGCTTCAGAGTTTCGAGGGAGTGACTGCTCTGTCAAGGGCTCTCTGACAGCTACTACATCAAGTAGTAGCATGGTGTATGTGTTGTGTTTTGTCTGTTGTCAAATTGTCAAATTACTCGTTTTTAATTAACTCTATATTTCAAAGATCGGAATGAAATGGATTTCAGGTAGAATTTTGGTCTTGTGGGGAGCACGTGCTGCCCTAGGAAACCAATTTGGGGAACTAGGCAAACACTGATTCTTACTCTCCCAGGGTGGCCGGGCCGGCTTCTCTACCTGGCTGCGATCCTTTGAGCTGGCATTTATTCTCAGTGACAAGCCACACCCCTTTCCTACCCGCATTTCTTTACAAATGACCTCTGAAGGCAAATGCAAACAGCAGCATCACAAAAGATGGGTCAGTCGGCCTTTTCTGGATTCACTCTGTAATTAATTAAGTCTACAACCTCTTTCAGGAACACACACACACGCACACACAACTGTCTGTCACCTACATCTTGGAGGGCTGCTTCACCGGCCTTTTGATCCTCCTTTACAAATAGAACCTTGGCTCGAATTCAACGACTCACTGAATAGGTAAACCCGAGACCAAGCGCGGGCTGAACTGTCCGAGGTCCCTGCAGAGCTCGGTGCCCAACTCTTCGCCCTCCACCGCCCACCCGGGAAGCCTCCGGGCGGGTCCCGGGCAGCCGCGCGCGTCCAAGGCGCTACCCCTCCCGCTGCCGCCGCTACCGTGCCCCTCCCTGCCTCACCCGGGGCCTGTTGCCGGTGTCCAGCTCGATAGCGCCGTTGGCTAGCTTCATAGCACTCTGCAGCGGCTTGGCCGCGCCGTCCCCGGCCGCAGCGGCCATGGTGCCCGGCGCGGGAGGCGG